GAATTATTCAGTAGGGGAGTAGAATTAGTAAAGGGCTGGCCCATTGTGTGACCAAATGGGCTCAAGGACTTTCATCTGCTACAGAACTACCTTGATACAGTGGGAGTTGGCTACATGTAAACAGGAAGAACATTAGGAGCAGAGGAAAGATTGGAGAGTGTACAGTTCTGCTTTAGCTATTTAAATCTGTTTCCCGCCGGGCGCGGTGGCTCAAGCCTGTAATCCCAGCACTTTGGGAGGCCGAGGCGGGTGGATCACGAGGTCAAGAGATCAAGACCATCCTGGTCAACATGGTGAAACCCCGTCTCTACTAAAAATACAAAAAATTAGCTGGGCATGGTGGTGCGTGCCTGTAATCCCAGCTACTCAGGAGGCTGAGGCAGGAGAATTGTCTGAACCCAGGAGGCGGAGGTTGCGGTGAGCCGAGATCGCGCCATTGCACTCCAGCCTGGGTAACATGAGTGAAACTCCGTCTCGGAAAAAAGAAAAAGAAAAAAAAAAAATAAAATAAAATAAATCTGTTTCCCAACACACAGTGGCCTATAAATGAATACTAATAGATCAAATTAATAAGCATTTATGTATATGCATTTATTCATTAATACATTCTCAGTGCAATTCAAGGCATGCAGTAACGTGACTCGGGGTAAAATTGAACACCAAGTTTTTTTTTTTTTTTTAATCTAGGTAAAGAGAGATTGAGAAAGGAATGGCCATTGATATTTTAAATAATAAATGTTCTAAAAATTTTGTTTTAAAAATTGATATTTTAAATAAAAGTTTTAAAAATGTTTTACATATTTTATTTTTTTGAGTTTTCATTGATACATCATAATTGTATACATATTAATGAGGTACATGCGGTAGTTTGTAAGAATCAATAATAGGTATTTCAGAACTGCATTGATGTCCAGCTACGATGACTTTATCACCAGGGTTGTGGAGCCAAATCATTCTTTTTGGGTAGAGGCAAGGCTTTCCCTGCAGGAACTGGGTATTTTCACTTTCAAAGAGTCCTGAGAAGAGGCAGTAGCTGGAAAACCAGGACTTGGGGTGACTGGGACTATAGTGAGGGGAGATGGTCTTTCATTTCCTGGATCTAGGAGTCTAACCTACAAAGAAGATAGGATTACCTCTTGTGAGTGGCAGGACCTGGCCAGGTGGAAACTCCCTGGGAGCCAGTCAGACAGCCAAGATTATAGTCTGGGCCAAGGCTGTAATTATGAATTAACCTTTGCAGTTACTTATTTGTATATATTTTATCTCTTTAGAGAAATCATTTACATCAGAATAGCCTCCTCTCTCCCACTAAAGAACATTTTCAAAAGGGTCAGACCTAATTATGGGAACCTCAAGGTAAAGGAGACTGGCAGTTGGGGGACCAGAGCTATGGTAGCAGAAGGGTCACCAGCAAAGGGCAGCTATGTCCAATGGAAGAATAACCTCTGTCATGGCAGCAGTGTAGTGACAGGAGTGGCAGGGGTTAAAAAAGGATGGTTGGGGGCTGTTCTTTGGACCCTTTAGGCCACAGTCTAGGGGATCTTCAGAATCATCCAAGAGATGTGTTGAGAAAAGTACTTTGAGAGCAATAAAACAGATGAGTGCTTGGATCAGTGTCACTAGTGAGAGAAAAAGATACAAAAATTCATAAAGCTGAAGCCTCAAGGAACTTCCCAGTCTCTCTGGGAAGGCAAGACAAGTACAAATAAAAAGGTTCCTAAAAAACATAAGCCTGCTAAGCCTCACAGGAATGGTAGAAAACTGTCGGTGGTATAGTAGTTCTGAGAAATGAGAACTGGGGTTAGGTTTATTGCAGATGCTTCCTAAAAGATATGGAAAATGAGCTAAACCTTGTAATATAGAATTTAGATGATGCAGAGGTTCCTACAGCGATGTCCCTGAAAGTGCAACCATGAGCATTGCAGGGGATGCTTGCAAGAGGGAATTCTTGTTAGAACTGCAAATTCTTGGCCACATCAGTTCTTCTGAGGGTGGGACCCAGTAATCTGTGTGGGTTTTTTTTTTTGTTTTTTTTTGTTTGTTTGTTTGTTTGTTTTTTTGAGATGGAGTTTTGTTCTTGTTACCCAGGCTGGAGTGCAATGGTGCTATCTTGGCTCACTGCAACCTCCACCTCCTGGGCTGAAGTGATTGTCCTGTCTCAGCCTCCCGAGTGCCTGGGATTACAGGTATGTGTCACCATGTCCAGCTAATTTTGTATTTTTAGTAGAGACAGGGTTTCTTCATGTTGGTCAGGCTGGTCTCGAACTCCTGACCTCAGGTGATCTGCCTGCCTCAGCTTCCCAAAGTGCTGGAATTATAGGCATGAGCCACTGTGCCCAGGCAGCAATTTGTATTTTAACAAGTGCTCCCGGGTGATTCTGTTGGCTGTTCAAGTTTGAGGATAACTGAAATAGTTTGAGGATAACTGAAGTAATTTGAGGATAACTGAAGAGCTTCTACCAGCAGCTCTGCTGCAACTGAGAAAAGAGGCAAGCAACTGAGAGTTAGTGATTACCAGTTTAATACTAATAACAGCTCTCTTTCCTATCATCTCATGATGCATGACATATTATTCAATTACTGCATTTTGTTGTTGTATTACTTTCAGAACTATTACTGGTACATATTACTTCAGTTTTATAGGTGACACAATTAACAATCAAAGAAGTACTATTACTTGTCCAAAATTACAAGGATAGTGAGCAGAAGAGGAAATAGAAGCTCCAGACTCTGACTGCTACACCTTTTTCTCTGTCTTCCTTTCCTGTTGATGATAAGTATTCAGAAATCTCTTAAACTTCCAGAGTTTCTCTAGTGGAGACCAGCATCTTGCATGTCACCTCTGAATACTGATAGCAATTTTTGGGACTCTCTGTTGAAAAGGATCCTTAGGATGTATTTGGAGTCAGTAGGAAAAAATGCTGTAGTGGATTGTTAATATCTGCAGCGAGCATCAAATGTGGAAGTGACAGTATATGTGTAATATATATAATATACCCTGCTAACAATATATGATCTTGTTCTGGGCTTCACTGCATTATTTGGCTAGGCCCTGATAAGTACAAACTGTAGAAGAGTAGCATTCAGTTAGGAAGATTGAATAGGGGTGGGTTGATGAAGAGAGGAATGATTATTCTCACATGCCTTAATATTACCTCATTGGCCATTATTCATTCTAATTTTCATCAGGTTTCATGAATTTGTAGAGAAACAATCAAAACAAACTAACACAAAACACACAACCACTACCCTCCCCCCAACCCGCCCCCCCCCAAAAAAAAAAAAAAACACTATGCTTTACTCTTTGACATCATATCAAATACATTCCTCTGCCTTACAAATGCATGCCTCTAAAATTCTGGGCACATTCTAATAACACAGCTTTTTATTCCTGCTTCATAAAGGGATAGATATAAACGGAAAAAGTCTGCCAGTCCTCTTGATTTGCCCCAATGTTGTCTTTTTAGTAATGAATGGAAACTTTTCCCATTTTTGCTGGCTTTTCCCCCCAACCTCCCCCTATGAAAAATGAACAAAGCAAACAAACAAAAACAATAGAAGACATTACAATCAACCAACCTAACATTCCTAAAGCATCAAGTACATGTGACCATCTCATTGCTGTTACTGTGTGTGAGTCACTTGCAAACTCAGGCTCAGTTTTTAATTATTCCCAGTTGTCACTTTGCACTGAACAGACCAAACCTTTGTCCAAATCATGTGTGGTAGAGAAGTATTTTAATTTCTGATAATGCCAGCAACTCGCATTAGCTTTCCCTCTAGCTCTTGCTAATTTCCAGGGATTTGGCTGCAATTTGGAAAAGGCCTCTCCCCATGGAGGTCACAGTTTCCAACCCCTGTTGCCTTCCTGGCTCTGCTTTCCAATCTTCCTCCTACCCTTTGCTAATATATCTGCAATCATTACTCCATTTTGCTGTGATTTTAATTAGAGGACATGTGGTATCTTTTAATATTCTTCTGCACATTGAGGCTCCTGAGCACTTGTTACCAACCAATGCCTCACTATAATTTAGAAGCTGTGGCTTCATAAGCAAGTCCTCCAATCTTTTGATATTAAATTTTCAAATTAATCTCTGCTGTATGCATCACTGGTGATTATCTTGGCCTAAATTATGCATCCTTCTTAAAGTTGGAAAACAACGGCTCATCCCATCTGACAATGAATCTATGCTGATACCCTTCTTTCTAAGGAGAAAAAGGTTGTTTTTAACCCTCTATGGATATAATTAGAGATCTCTTTGACTCCAGTTTTCTTTGCTATCATCCCACTTGTGGCTACAATAAGAGCAAAACTGATCCTGTGAGTGCCGTCTCAGCCCCTCTAGTGGCTTCCCATTGCTTCCAAGAAGAATCCAAGCCCCCATTTATCCTTCAAAAGATAAATTGTTTAAATATCAAGCAAGAGTGATATAACTATATTATTAGAAAAAAATACCCAGAGTTTACTGATAATGGCTTGTGGTGTTATTCCTCAAAGGGAGATTTTATGTCACAGTGGGGTGTACACAGTCTTTGGAGTTGGAGGGACTCAGATTAATATCCATTATTCAATATTTATTACTTTCCCCATTTCTAGAAAATTGGTTCCCATTTCTATGCCTCTATTTTTATTGTCAGAACTGATGGGGTTGCTATGGCAGCACATAGTAGGTTATGAAAAGACAAATTTCCCTTTTCTCTAACTTCATCCCCTGGGTATTTCATGTAGGGGCAACCCTCAAGGCTTACAGGATTCAATCTAAATATGAATAGTTGGGCAACATAAAGAAAAGATTTTGGAGTACTTATAGTCTTATGTTGGAGGTGGGATTTGCTGGAGCAAATAAATTAAAATTAGATTTTTAATCAAAATCCCCCACATGTAATTTGTTGTGGGCTCTTTCAAATAGGGGCGGGACCTGTGTCCTGGTTTAATTCAGACCTCACTGTTCCTGGTTTAAAAATGGACTGCACCATCTAACTATAATCTTTCTCTTCAGAGTTGTGTCACTGTGCTCAAATGAAGCCACTGTCCCATCAAATGAGAGGACACATAAACTTCCAGCAAGAAAAAATAAGATAATCTGATACATTTCAGTATCAAAAAGATTACCATCAGACACTCTATAAGGTGACACAACAATCAAACAGCACTGGAGGTCTAGATTGATCATATCTCAGGACAATTATAATCTATTCCCAAGCCCAGGCTGCAATACAACTAAAAGGTGGACTAAGAACACACAATAATTCTCTGTCCCTGTGTTTGACAACACTGGAAACAGGCATATTTCCCTCTCTCTGAGCTTAACAACTCTAGGATGATGGATTTTACCTCTTTCTTTGCTAAGCAATGCTGACAATAAACAAAAATAATTTAGCTGCTTGCTCTAGGAAATACCTGCTTCTGGAAGATAAGCCTGGGAACAAACTAAACAGCTTACTTATCATGAATAACACTTGACTCATCCAGAATTACTTCAAGACCCTCTGCACTGTGACCATCAATCCAAAGCTATCATGGCATAATCTCTGTTCAATCCCGAATAGTTTCTATCTTGTAAGACTCTCCTTAAATCCAGTCACCCCTGACCCCCAAACCATATATATTTCTATTTTGAGACACTACCAAGACTGTCTCCTTTACTGCAGTAAATCTAATAAGCTGAGCTTTTCTTGATCAATAGACTTTTCTGATGATCTTTGGCGAATCAATGGTTGACTCTGTAAAGTACTTTATTACAAGACTAATTGTATTTAACTTTCTTAAAAACCTGTTTTTTGTCTTTTTATTTATTCTCCCAAGAAATATTTATTGAGTGTCAAGAACTATCCTAGACATGGAGAACAAACTATTTCTGCCTTTATGAAATATATACTCTAGTAAGGAAAAATGTATATATTTTTAAATGACAGGCATAATTATACCATTACAGTTTTGATAAGTGCGTTAAAACAACAATCCTAAAATCTAAGAAAATGGGTTCATGGAGAACCACATTTGGCTTTGAGTGCAGGTGTGTGGAGAGCAGGGATAGTATCCCTGGACAGGCAGCATTTAAAGTAAGACCAGAAGTCCAAGTGGAGAGGTACCACTGGTAGAAGTGATAGCATGTACAGTGCTCAGTGTCAGAAGGAGCTTGGCTTGCTGCCAGGACAGAGAGATGGCCAATCCAGAATAACCAGCCATTAGGAGGGACTTTGGCTGGAGGTAGGCAGGGCTGGGATTAGTCAGACTTTGTCAGACATGGTAAGTATTTATACCTGGAGGTTAGCTGCATCGGACTTTTTTTTCTGATACTAGCATGTCTTAGACTTTAATATGTGTGTATTAATAGCCTCTCACATTTGATGTCCAAAGATGATGCCCATATTAGTGTCTACTTTTGTCCCGTCTTCTGGAGCCATATGCTCCCTCTTTCTACTTTTATCTTCTTTTATTTTACAAAGTTTCTTCATCTCCCTGTGTTTGTTTTGTTCCCCTTCCTGTGCTTTTTCTAGGACAGGGTCCTCACAGCCAATATTCTACCTTATTTAGAGCCTCTTTGGAACTCGAGGAGTTTTTGCCTCCCTGGGTGAAGTCCCTTGAAGAGAGCCTTTGAAAAGACACAGTCGATGAACTCTTTCTACACCTTAAGTAGTGTAATGCATTATTGACTCCAGATATAAGGTTCCCACCACTGCCAGCATTAACGGTGAAACTTGCCCTAGTTCACAAGTGTTAACAGGCCTCCAGTCTTGCTCAACTTCTTCCTAGAGTGGCTTACTACCTTGGGAAGTATGATTGTCTCAACCGCGTCTCAAGTTGGGAGGTAATTTCTGTTCCAGGTACTCAAAGAGAGTCAAGTTTATTTGTAAAATAATTATGGCAGTTTGAAATTTGTTAATTGCTCATGTCATTGTTCAATGAGATTTGTGTTTGTCACACCACATCTTGATGTTTTCTATTATGATGTTAAATGCAGAATTTTAAAACTTTATTTTGAAAGAGTAAACCATTATGTGTAACTAATTGTCATTCAAAAGTCCAGTATATAAAACAGACAAAAGCAAAGAAGCACAGCTGAGAGCAGGAGAAGGTCTGAGGGCTGGCATGCTGGGTATCTTTTTTAGCGCTGCTAAGTCCCCAGAATCCACTGAAGGGCCTTAGATTGAAACAACACTACTTGACTCTGAGTTAGGGCAATAAGGTTGACAACAAAAACTCAAGACCCTTTGTCTTAGTTCATTCAAGCTCCCATAACAAAATACCCTAGACTGGGTGGCTTATAAACAGTAGATATTTGTTTCTGATAGTTCTGGAGACTGGAAGTCCAAGATCAAGGTGCCAAGGTATTTGGTGTCTGGTGAGGGCCTACTGTCTGGTTCATAGATGGTGCCTTCTTGCTGTGTCTTCACATGGTAGAAGGAATGAGGGAGCTCTCTGGAGTCTTTTTTATAAGGGCGCTAATTTCTTTAATAAGGTCTCCACCTTTATAACCCAATCCTCTCCCAAAGGCCCCTCCTCCAAATATCATCACTTTGAGGATTAGGATTTTGTGATGGTTAATACTTAGTGTCAACTTGATTTGATTGAAAAATACAACGTATTGATAGTGGGTGTGTCCATGAGAGTGTCGCCAAAGGAGATTAACATCTGAGTCAGTGGGCGGGGAAAGGCAGACCCACTCGTAATCTGGGTGGCCACAATATAATCAGCTGCCCACTCAGCTAGAATATAAGCAGGCAGAAAAATGTGAAAAAAGAGACTGGCCTAGCCTACCAGACTACGTCTTTCTCCTGTGCTGGGTGCTGCCTGCCCTCAAACATCAGGCTCCAAGTTCTTCAGTTTTGGAACTCAGGCTAGTTTTCCTTGCTCCTCAGCCTGCCAACAACCTATTGATATATATTCTATTCTGTCCCTCTAGAGAACCCTGACTAATACAGTGTTTCAACATACACATTTTAGGAGAATACAAACATTTAGATCATAGCACCCTCTTGCAATAAACACTTAGGCATTGTCAACAAAATGGTGCAAACTTTTACATGCATAGCCCAACTAGTCATAACAAAAGAAATATCCCGTAGTGCTAAGAGTGAAAATAGAACTATAAATGAGAGTGGAAATGCATGAGCTAATACTGCTGCTGGAGTAAGGGTGGCCCTTAAACTAGGGACTAGTGTGTTTAACACGTATTCAGAAACAGAAGACATGACCTTGGGCTCACCAGAGGTCTACCTGAAAATTGGTTGTAAAATCCATTAAAGTGGTACTTTCTCATGGAAGCAAGGGAGTATATAAAATCACCTCTCAGCATGGAATGAATTCAAGAAAACATATCCCACTCTCTCTAGTTTCTGAGTGGAAAAAAATCCTCCAAGAATCTGTGAAATTAAAATCATAATCCTGTTTCACTTTTGGGAGTCAGGTTTGAATTTAAATTTTCTTTGTGGTTTGTGAAGCCACAAGCTTTTCTATTAATATACAAATGATCCCAGGTCTGTGGTCCCCTTGGGCACCTGGAAAATTCCAACACAGTTACTCTCTGGAGAGATATACCCACACCTCAGGCTGCATAGGAAGATGAGATTACTACCCCAAAGCAAAAAACATAAAAGAAAATGATCCACCATGAGTAAGAGGGAACAGATGTAAGAAACAGCTGATAAAGATCTGCTACCATTTCAATTAATGGAACCATATGATATAACTACAAAATCAGTATGTTTATTTTTTAGGAAAAAAACAGACACAAAGATGCATTAAAGCCATAAGAAATGACTAAAATACAATGAAATATAGCAGGTAGATAAAATCAAAATTAAAATGGTCATCTGATACAAAATACAGCAATGCAATAGTACTTTAGACACAACCAAAGGGGGAATGGGTTGAGTAGGGCCTTGGGTCCCTATTTGAAAACTATGGATCAAGCTCTATTATGCTCCTTTTTTCTTTCCCTCCCCTATACTTGAAACCAGACTGGGTCAAGGAGAACTAGATTAGAGCAAGCACAATTTCCTGAGTACATCCCTATACAGCTGCTCTGAATCATTCATTCAGCAGAACAGCCTTCAAATTCTTTGATGTTAGAAATCTTCTGTAACTTTTCCTCAGAAAAGTTACTCACAGAGTCACCTGATAATGGACTCTGGGATGGTAAAATCTGTCAAATATTAGAAAAGATTTGATCTTCTAGTCTAACATTTTGGACTTTGGAATGTAACATCTTGTTTATGGCCTGGTATGCCACTTATTTTAGGGACGGAGGATGCATTAATATATGGATGGTCAGCAAAATTCCCATTTTAGGATAGCAATCTAACTCACACAAAAACTCCTAAGTCTATCAACTTACACATTTTTCCTGAAAGCTAACAGCCTCCTAAACTGACAGAATAGCAAATACTCCAAATACTCTGCCTTATTTCATTTAAACTTAACAGAAATCTTAAGATTTAGATATCATTTTATTGTTAAAAATTAAAGGCAAGAGAAATGAAGCCTATAGAAGCTATTTTATCCACACATAAGCAGATCCCAGATTTTAACACCAAAGCTCATGGACTCTATCTCTATACTTCACGATATTCCCTTCCTTGAATTCTGAATCATTCCAAGCTTAACATTGAAATCCTGAGCACCCGTGCTGGAGTTATAAGACCACCTGCCAAAGGCATTTGCATATTTTGTTTCTTTGTTTTGTTCTATTTTTTTAACCTAATCTAGCAATAAAGAAACTAACAGTGAAATTCAAACCTACCACCCCCTGCTAGAAGTGCTGCTTCTAGCTGTTCTATGAAAACATGGCTGCTGAAAGCTCTCACTTCAAATTTCACTTGAGGTTCAATGTATGGCAAAAACGTGCCTCTCCTCAGGCTCCTCTGGCACCTCTACACAGAGCATCGACTATGTTTGAGAACATTTAGAGTTTGTCACTGAGAAAGTGATAGTGGGACAAGTAGGACATAGGGATTATAGAAAGCAACTACCTTGTTGGGGTAGGTGTAAAAGTAAATGGCAGAGGACTGGGCATAGTGGCTCACACCTCTAATCCCAGCACTTTGGGAGGTCAAGGCAGGAGAATCACTGGAGGTCAAGGGTTCAAAACCTGCCTGGCCAACATGGAGAAACCCCGACACTACTAAAAATACAAAAATACCCAGTTGAGCTGGCAGATGCCTATAGGCCCAGCTACTTGGGAAGCTGAGGCAGGAGAATCGCTTGAACCCAGGAGGCAGAGGTTGCAGTGAGCTGAGAGCACGCCACTGCACTCCAGCCTGGGCGACAGAGAGAGACTTCGTCTCAAAAAAAAATGGAAATGGCAGAAAAGAAATAGGAAATATTCTGTCGGATGGACATTGGTAGAAAGGACATGGGTGCAGAAAGGGCTCCACTAAAGGGCAATAATAAAAATAAACTTTAAGAAGTACTTAAAAATCTGTCTCTCTAAAGCAAAGCTTTTTCCAGGTTGCTATTTTTATTCTAACATTTTTTCTAGGACCAATGGAGGGAAGAACAAAATAGTCCATGCATTAATATTTACAACCCTCTAGGCTTCCAGATCTTTTTGTCATTGTTGGGTTACTATTATTGTTATCAATCTAACCTCAAGAATCACTATATACTCTTTTTTTTTTTTTTTTTTTTTTTTTTTTTTTTTTTTTTTTTTTTTTTTTTTTTTTTTTTTTTTTTTTTTTTTTTTTTTTTTGATGCAGAGTCTCACTCTGTCACCCAGGTTGGAGTGCAATGGCACGATCTCGGCTCACTGCAACCTCTGCCTCCCATGTTCAAGCAAAGAATCACTATATACTCTTTTAGCTACTACTTTCGGAG